CTCACGATGATTTCCATTTCGATTTAAATGACGCTTTAATCGCGCCGCCCCCCGAAACAAACACACTCACAACTTAGTTAACCGCAGTGACAAAATATAAATATTATACACACACACGGGAGGGGTGGGCTTGGTAATGTAAATAATTGAATTGGCGCTTATCCCAAGGGAACTAGGCATTGGTGGAGGGCTTTGAGGACCTTGCTACATCGCCTCCTCCTCCTCCTCCCTCCTCCTCGTGATTTCAATGCGAGGAGTCCCATTGATTCTGCGAGCGACACGGCATTCCTGGGCGAGACTCGTGCTAACAGCTGAGGTGGGGGTGGGGGCGGCAGCGGAGGCGGTGGATACAATGGGGGGGGGGGGGCTCTGACACTCTTCCGCTGTCTCAGCCGCCGACGTAGCCCGCGGATCATGGGGGGGTGGGGGGGGGGCGAGTTTCAGTCAGTTCACTGATCATAGCGTGAACCCTGCTGGCTTGTGCAAGGATCGACAAGATGCATTTCAGTGGAACAAAATGGAGAGAGTGAGAGAGAGAGTGAGAAGAGAGAGGGAGGGAGGGAGGCAGTCAAAAGAATGGAGGAGATGCTGCCTCGCGCATTTCATCGTTCAGATCATTCCGAGTGAAGAGCTGTTGGTTGCGCCGCTAATTTTGTGGAGGGGTTTGTTGTTGTTGTTACCATTCAACAAGGCTGGAGAGCACTTTAACCAAACGACACGCTGTAACTTCTGTGAAACTTACAATAGACGTGAACAAAAAAGGATTCAATTTTAATGTGCATTCTTTAACCCGATGGGATGGTCGGATGGGGGCATTCTTCGAGTTAAAAAAAAATCCACTGTCGTAACAATTGCCATCACACCGTTCGTCTAAGCCTTTATTGCCTGCAGTGTTTGCTTTGGCTTGCAGCGAGGTCTTAGGCAACAATATATGGGTTTTGATTGTAAACCAGACACAGATCTCGGGTAATTTAATTTTAGGTCACTCCTTCAACCTTATATTACTACAATAACACTCTGCTCATGCTTACACATTTTGTAGCCACTGCTCACCAAGCCTGTTTGGTCTAAGAATAATCATTCCAGGAAATCCATTAACAGAGTTTACAATGCACATAAAAAGCGGTGTATGTAAAAAAAAAATAAGAAATACATTCAGGTGAATGCCATTCCTCGCTTTGCATTTATATAAATATCACGAGGTTGTGGATTATGCAGTCTGGAGACACGCGTGATGGCATTGTCTCATTTGTTCCGGTTCCGCTGTGAGTGAGTGCTCCAGTTGTGTGGCCTGTGGCCTGCAAGGGATCCTCAAAGCAGAGTGCACTGCTGGTTAATCACGTGCTTCGGTGCGGAGTGGAAATCCTCTATTGTGGCCACCCAAGGGAGTGTATGAAAAAAAAAGCTGCACTCGGTGGTGAGTTGGTCTTAATGTGCAAACCCTCAAAAGCCACCCACTGTAATTAAACACGTGGTAGTTGAGCGGCCGTGTTGGAGTCGCTGTAATAGCGAGGCCGCTCTTAAGTCGGAGTACCACGAAGTGATAGCTGGCTGCGTGGAATCACGGGCCTGCAGTAGTGATGAGATGCCCGGTTCAAGTCTGGGCGGTCACCAGCGATTAAACCGCCTTCTAAAGTGTGGCGACTTGACCGCCTTGGCCAGATCAGCAGTGGCCACAGGCAAAAACTATATTAAATTTAGTTGTTTCGCATGCGATAATAATAATAATAATTGTACTTATTTATCCAGGAGAGTCACGCAGAGTTATACAACTCGTTGACAGGAGGGTATTTCTGCTGCTGCATTGGGTTTTTATTTTAAGATGTTTTCAGCCAGTCAGAATTGAACATTTCTGTTCAATTGTCATGCGATGTTAATGATGTCGAGGCAATTATAACATGCTCCACTCGTGTGGTGAAAGAGATTTATTGAAATTAATTCCAAAAGTAATTCTGTGATGTCAAATTCCACGGCCATTATCGGACACAAAGTGATGCATTGGAAGCTGTGAGTTCCCAATAGAGATTTCATAAACTTTATAACACCAATAACACAATTTGTCAATATGCTAAGGATGTGTTCCAGATTTCTCAAAAGAGTTGGGAGTGTGCCCACCCTTCAGTGAAACACAGAGTCAACTGTAAATTGGTTTGGTGCTTAATAATACTTTAATTTTTTATAGCATCGTTCATTCTATTACCATCCCAAATCGCTGGACTCCCATAGGTGCATTGATTTCGCTATGGACTCATCAGTACAGCGGTCATCAGTGTTCGCCACTGCCACGTGTCTCCATGAACGCGCATATATATGGAGAGGGCTTCCAAGTACACGGGCAACGTTGGGCAAACATACATACAAACACACGCACGCACGCGTACTTGAAGTGGCTGTGTAACGAGGCGAGAGCGAGCGAGGTGTACGAGCAGGCACAACGAATTGCGTGCACGGGCTGCGTCCTGTGGTCATCGGCCGTTGTTGTAAACAGAAGGCGAGCCCGAGCCGCTCCTACCCCGAGGGCTCTCTGCCACTTCAGAGACACGAATGACTTTTTTTTTACAAAAAAATGTATTAACACTTTTGAATTAGACAACTTATCAGTCTCATTGCAAGGTCCGCCGGAGCGTCACGTGTTGAAGTCGCGTGGGTTGTGAGTTTCTCCGCTGTAGCAAGTGAGGTTGGTGGGAGGTGGGTTTTTTTTGGTGCTCGTTATGATGTTTACTTGTCATTTCTTTCTGCGGTTCGCTTTTTTTTCCTGTGCGCTTGCAGTGCGGTCGTTTTGAGCCGTGCCCAGGGAGGTATTTTAATTTTATTTAGATGCTTTATAAAGACAAGATTTTTAACAAGTTTCTGCATGGAGGCAAATAAAGAGGCGCTTTGTTTGGCCACGATTTTTCCTCCCACCTCCGTCCATTTATTATACAGAGCGTTTCACGATAAGATCTTGACTTTGTCATCGCGATAATTTCACACCCATCAATCGGAGGTCTCCCCTTTCCTCTGCTGCTCCCATTGTTGTCCCCCCTTGTTAGAAATATCCTTCAACCAGCCACCCATGCTGCCCGTTCCTTGGCCTGCTGCAAGTTCGGGCTGCGTGAATTACTCTTCTCCTCCACGACCTTGGTAGTCTGTCTCTCATCTCGAAACGAAATTCAGTGGCATCCTCCTTCAGTCATACAAACACCTCCAAACGCTACAAAAGTAATCGCGCGAATAGCAAAAAACGTCCCGCTTTTTGTAAGAAGAAAAAAAGTGTTTGGAAATGTTACAGGTGCGTTCGCAATGCAAATGCAACAATGCATTGTACTCTCACACCAAGGTTGAGCTTGCGAGAGCGATATTGCATCTGAATGTTTTTCTTCTTCTTCTTCTTACCAGATTAAATTCCAACGACCGAATAGATCGATTGCCTTTGCGCGTGCTGCATTGGTGCACGCGGTGTCGGTGTGCGTCAGCGTGTGTTAATGCGTGTCGGGCTATCCGGCACGCACATTGGTGTGCGTGCGTTTACGCGGTGTCGGTGTGCGTCAGCGTGTGTTAATGCGTGTCGGGCCATCAACACGCACATTGGTGTGCGTGCGTGTACGCGGTGTCAGTGTGCGTCAGCGTGTGTTAATGCGTGTCGGGCCATCAACACGCACATTGGTGTGCGTGCGTGTACGCGTTGTCGGTGTGCGTCAGCGTGTGTTAATGCGTGTCGGGCCATCAACACGCACATTGGTGTGCGTGCGTGTACGCGGTGTCGGTGTGCGTCAGCGTGTGTTAATGCGTGTCGGGCTATCGGGCACGCACATTGGTGTGCGTGTGTACGCGCTGCGGTGCACGCGTGTGCGAAGCGATGGCGCTACGGACCCGGCCACCTGAGTTCGCCGCCTAGCCGTGATTGACACCAGCGGTGAGCGATATCTGCTGAACTGGTTCGAGTCCTCGCCTAGGTAAACTCAGCCATACATGAGTACAATACCCAGTGTACTCCTCGTGGCCCTGCCACCCCACGTGGCTTTAATGGGTGTTCGCTGAAAGCACTTGCCGCAACTTCCTATAAAAGAAGGCTATTAAGGGGTGTTTGTGTGTGCATGTGCGGGGAGCGGTAGTGTAGCGGTTAGCGCTACGGGTCCGGCAACCCGAGTTCGATTCCCACTCACGGCCAACACCCAGTGATGATTATCTGAACCCGTCCTGGGCCTCGCCCCTAGGTTGACTCAGCCTCAAATGAGTACCTGGTGTGGTGTGTGAACATCGCTACAAGGCAGACAAAGGCGGTCGGGCGTGATGCTGGCCACCCACCCTGTCGTGTGCTGTCCCGGCCTTCATGGGTGCTCGCTAACAGCACTTGCCCCAACAATCTGTTAAGGCTATACAGGGGATCTTTGTCTTTGTGTATGTGCACTTGCATAGACAGCGTGCAGCGGTTAGGGCGTAGCGGTGAGCGCGCCGCGCTACAAACCAGGCGACCCGAGTTCGATGCCCGCTCACAGTCAACGCCAGTGGCGATGATCTCAATCGGTCGTGGCCCTCTCCGAGGTCGACTCAGCCTCAAATGAGTGCCTCGTGCGACGGGTATGCATCGCCGCTGGGGAGACAAAGGCAGTCGGGCGTGGTGCTGGCCACCCAATTCCTCGTGCGTTGTGCCGGCCTTCATTACAGCACTTGCCCCAACAGTCTGTCAAGGCCATGGGAGGCAGGGGGGGGGTTGGTCTTTGTTTTTGTCTGAGCGCGTGCACGCGCGCGTGTGCGTGTGTCAGTGCATTTGCATGTCTCCCTGCTCAAGGCAGGGAATACTGCCCATTGAAGAGCACAATGACGTGCAAGCGTGCCGCTCATCACGATGACAGCACCGCGCACGAGCTAAACGAGTGGCAAAGATTTGAACGTGTGTTTTTCATCCACACTTACAACAATAAAAAAAAATCTGCTTCCCCCCCCCCTCCTCCTCCTCCTTCTCTTCATCTCCTCTTTCCCCCCCCCACCCTCCACCTTCACCTCATCTCCCCGGGCAGGTGCTACAGGCTGCTGCAAGACATTATTTGCTCCAACAGCAAACGGGCGGAGGACTTAAATCACCCAAGTCAACTGAGAAACCGGCTCTGCAGGTCAGAAGCATTCGCCTCCTGCATGTGCGCGTGTGTGTGTGTGCAGTGTCGAGGGGGCAGTCACGTGGTGGCTCGCACGATGCGCTACACACCGGGCATGTCGAGTTCGATTCCAAGGCTAATATCAGCGGTGATTATCTAAACCAGTCTTGGGATTCCCCTAGGTCCACTCAACCTGAACATCGGCGATGCCGGCCACACAAAGCCTCTTTAGTGCATCGCACCGGCCTGCAATGGGCGCTCGTGAACAGCGCTTGCATTCACTCTTCCATAAAAATGTGGAATATCTTTGACTCGGAATGAACACCACACGTGCTTGTTCAAACATGGAAACACACTGACTTCACTGCATAACGTCTACGTGTATGTGTGTGTGTGAACCCCATCATGCGTTGTACCAGCCTTCACATTGTACCGTGCTCACAAAAGCACATGATCCCAAACACTCTCCAACGATTATTCAGGGATCTCCTGTCTTTTCTTGAATAGGTGGTGGAACAGCATTGGGGGCACTGCGTTACCCTTTCCCTGAGCTTCTACTGCCGGTCACTCCTGAGACGGCACTTAGGGCGATGAGGCCTGAAACGAGTGTCCCGTGCAGTGGTTTTTAAAAGAGGCTGTAAGGGCATGGTGGTGTGTGTTGTGCCAGAATTAATCGGCGCTTGCAAATTGAACGTGCATCTATATAGCTTCATCGGGTTACAATGGCAAGAATTCTAGATTTGAAGCTTTCGTGACTGCAAGGATTCATATTCTCAGGTTTTTTCGGTAAAGTCACGTAGGTAAAACATTAAAATTAATAAAAGTAAAATAAAATAAAAATCACGACGTTTCGGAGGCAACACAAGTCTCCATCATCAGGTAGGACCGTCACTTGTGTTGCCTCCGAAACGTCGTGATTTTTATTTTATTTTACTTTTATTAATTTTAATGTTTTACCTACGTGACTTTACCGAAAAAACCTGAGAATATTACAATGGCTAGGTTCTTTATCTTTTTGTGAAGTTTATTGCAGAAGCTTGACAACAGCGAGCATGGCAGGACCTGCTCCTCCTATTCCGTGGCCATTGGTGAAATAGTTGAATTAAAAAAAACATTTATGCAAAACTTAGTTGCATTTTGCAAGAGTGACCCGGAGCGTAAGTCTGACGGTAGGGTTGCGTTGAATGCTACGCGCAATCTCCAATTTGAGTCATTCGTGAGTCATGTTCAAATTTGGCAAAGCTTGGACCGTGACACTAGCACGCAGTGGCATGCCCTTGCGAATGCCATCAGGGCATGTGTAACGTCCACTGTGAGTGAAGAAGACGGCATGTAGTAGTATTATAATTATTCACACGCCGCAGTGATGATCAGGACGGCTGCTGGATTCTAAAACGAAACAATATTTTATTTTACCAGGTAAGGCCCACTGAGCTATACAGTTATTTTTTTTAGAAGCGACCTGGCCACAAATGATAGCTCAACAAAGTGGCTTATTACGTGTAAATATATAGCAGACAAATACCCTAAACGCGTGCTTCTAAATGTGGAGGGGGGAAAAAATCAGAGGACCCGGAGAGAAATCCATGCAAACGCAGGGAGAACATCCAAACATGCAAACTCCAAATACACAGGCGTACGTACGGGTCGGGATTGAACCCACGACCTCCTATATACCAGGCGAGGTGGTTTGTTTGTTGGTAATACGTGTCTTGTGTATGTCTGCAATGCATCCAGGCTGTGTCTCTGGTATCTGTCAATGTGACTGGTGCTGACGATTTTATCAGTGACTGTCTGGGACCACGACTTTCTGCGCAGGAATGTTTTTCTTCCCTCCCCCCCTAAGGTTAAAAGGTCAACAGTTATGGGCAAAGTGCTCTTGCCTTGAATTTGTACTCAAGTTTAGGTCAGAAGTCCATGGCCAAATGTATATAATGACTGTTGCAGCCGAGAGGCAATATATTACATATAAGCCAAGTTAATGTGTGTGTCCTTCTACGCATGTTTGTAAATGCCACTACAGGCTTGCAATAACTGCAGAGTTTCGTGAGAGTAGAAGGTCGAGTGTGTGGGTGTCTGGGCACATAGCAGTGTCTGTGTGTGTGTGTGGGTGTCTGTGGGGAGCAGGTGGTGTAGTGGTTAGTGCGCTGCGCTACGAACCTGGCGACCCGGGTTCGATTCCGGCTCACGGTCAACACCGAGTGACGATATCTGCTGAACTGTGTAAACATCTTCACTAGGGAGACAAAGGACGGCCGAGCGTGCTGTTAGGCCACCCACCCTCGCGTGTGCCGTGCCGGCCTTTATAGGTGCTCGCTAACAGCACTTGCCCCTACAGTCTGTTAAGGCTATATGGGGGATCTTTATCTTTGTGCACTTGCTCCAACAGTCTGTTAAGGCTATACTGGGGGATATTTGTCTTTGTGTGCTGTGGGGAGCGGGAGTGTAGCACGGTTGCGTTACGAATCCGGCGACCTGGGTTCGATTCTCGCTCATGGCAAACACCAGTGATGATTATCTGAACCGGTCATGGGCCTCCCCGAGGTTAACTCAGGTTGGCAGTCTTAATAGGTGCTCGCTAACTGCACAGGCCCCCAATATTTGGTACGTCTATATGGGCGATGTCAGTTTTTTTTGTAGCAGTGATGCAATGGTTCATGCACCGTGCTATAATTCCTCGTGACTGGCATTGGATATGTGACCCCCCCCCCCCGGACATCTGTGGAGAATGGTATCTGAACCTCGCTCGGTCAGCTCATCCTTTACCGAGTATCTGCCAGTTCCGCGTAAGCATCGGCACCGAATCACGCTACCTTCCGCCTCGCTGTGCCGTGTCGGCCTTGGTAAGGTGCACGCTAAGATCAGTTTGCCCCGACGGTCTTTGGGGCTAAACGGAGATCTTTTGTTTAGCGTGGGGTGGAAGGGGTGGTGTTAAAAAAAAATCTGCGGTATTAAAATGTTATTTAGTTGCGGGTTGTTTTCGTTCATTAAGACATCGGGCCATCTCTTGTTGCCTCGTTAAGGATGCCCGCTCTTCGGTTTCCAATCCCCTTTGGATTTCCCACCTGAGAATCTCAAGAATCCCAAGTCTCCCTTCTTTGAAAACAATGCGCTTTGTCCGCAGACAGCCAGCAGGCAGTCGCACCATTACGGTGAATTGCACGGTTTCTCAGCAGGGGCGGTTAGGTCTGTAATTAGCATTTTATCACACTCTCTCCGCGCCACCCTAAACTACCCCCCCCACCACACCGTCTCTTCTCACCCTACCCCAACACCCATGCCACCCCCGCCACTGAGACCAACACCACCAACACCATCTCTGCCACGACAATCGTCGTTGCCACCACCACCGCTGTCCTCTCCCTCCCTCCCCCCCCCACAGTGATCGTAACCCCCCCAACCTATAACGTGCAAAGTGCACCTTGGCTCGCACTAATTATCATCGGGCGGAGCAACCAGGAAGGCCGCCTCATTAGATCGGAACACTTTGAATTAGAGACCGCTTTAAGATTGAAGAGAAGGCATGAATAGGACATCGGCGTCACAATTAATCGCTCGCTGATGATGTTTTTATTTTTTTTGTAAATAACAGCAGGCACCACGCAAGCCCCTGCTCGGCAACAAGTTGCTGTCGGGTGCTAACGCGCGGGGAATTTAGTCCGCACGCCCGGAGCTGGTCGCCCGCAAACGACGTGCGGAGCGGAACGCGAGATTCGCGCGCGCGCGCTCGCTCGCTCCTTGACGGCGCGCGGATGGCGTGAGATAAATGAGCGGGATGAGTGATCGGCGGCGATGGTGACGGATTGCACGGCGTGGGATCGCTTTCGCGGCGGTAACCGCCGACCGTGAATCGGTCGAGGCGACGTTTCGGGGAAATGGCCCTTCTTTACGGCAACAAAAGCGAGCAATGACGCTTATATTCTTAGGTTTTTTCGGTAAAGTCACGTAGGTAAAACATCAAAATTAATAAAAATAAAATAAAACAAAAATCACGACGTTTCGGAGGCAACACAAGTCTCCGTCATCAGGTGGGACCGTCACAGCCGGATTAGCTGCATCAAGTGAGGCTGTGATGGTCCCACCTGATGACGGAGACTTGTGTTGCCTCCGAAACGTCGTGATTTTTGTTTCATTTTATTTTTATTAATTTTGATGTTTTACCTACGTGACTTTACCGAAAAAAACCTAAGAATATGAATCCTTGCAGTCACGAAAGCTTCAAATCTAGAATTAATGACGCTTATCACTCGACATTGCCACTCTTCATAGCTATTGCCTATGAGATATTGTTTTCCTTTTAGGGTGAGTGACGGATGCGTTGCGTGGATTTTTTTTATTTGTGCTCCTGCCCCACTGCTAGGCACGGTATCACGAAAATATTTTGTAACTTTGTTACGCGTATCGTCGAATGGGTGAACGCAAATCGTAACGTTCTCTCTGCCAAGAAGAACAATGGTTGTTAAGCAGAATGGTATCCTGCTGATGTATTTGTCGGCTATAACATGGGTCGTTTTCTGATTATTGTTGTTGTCGTAACACAGTGCCGTTGATGAAGTTGAACCTGTGATAGGGTCAGTCATCAGCGACGAAAATCTAAAGTAAATCGTTAAATTGTTTTTTTTTAAAACTTCACACACTCCTCAACAACACTGCCTTCATACGAATATATACACATATAATCGGAAATGTTGTAGGGCAGTGGTCGGGAACCTATGGCTCGCGAGCCATATATGGCTCTTCCAGTGACAGCATATGGCTCCCAGACAATTTTGAGTTGAAAAAAATAATAATAATAAAAAAATAAAAAATCAGTTTGGAACTGATTTTAAAATACTTGTGATATTGTTTAATACTACGGTGTCATTTTAAAGTAAACATAAATTAGTTTTGAAGATAAATTTCACGGGTCACGCCTGCATGAAGCTCAACCTCACCACGTATGAACCAGACTACAAGGCCATCAGCAAAACCATGCAGCACCAGAAGTCGCATTAAAAGTAAGACATATTTAATTCATT